CTATAGGTGTTTTCCTAGTTTTACTTTTACCGGTGCTTGATATAGTAGTAGAAATGTACATATACATATACTGTCACAGATGGGGGAATGGTAGGAGTGTTCATATTCGTGTTTGCCTTGTTGCCTGTAATAAAAGGATAAGAATGCTGCTCCTGGATGGCCTTCAATGTCAAGGGTTTGTGTTGCTTGATTTGATGGTGGTTTCTCTTCTCCTCCACCCCTCTTTTCTCTGTACCATCCACCGCCTGGTGTCTGATGCTAGAATCCACCGTGCAAATGTGCAAGTGCAATGCAGGGGGGCTGGTGCTAGCAATGGAATGTGATTCGTCGCTGCGGTACGGCGAGCTGAGCCGTTCCCCCTGCCTAACTTTGGTTGACCCGCTGTTCGGCCCGGACAGCGGCCGGTCGATGCCGACGTTGTCGCCATCTTAGGCCATCGTCGCCGCTGGGCGGGCCGTCCGGGTGTCTTCCTTCCGCCCATACGGAAACGGAAGAGTAGTCACCACCCGCCCAACCGGCGTTCGGGCATTCAAATTCAAGCTCGCCCGCGGTAGGGCCCTCTCCCTCTCAGTCGACGCAATAAAGACGGATCGATCTAGCAGCCCAGATCCATGGGTCTGTACGGCGCCCAATGATCCGTGTGCTGGCAGGTCCACGTGCGGCTTCCGGGCTTGAAAGAATCCGTCTCCCCATCCAGAGAAAGGCGAAACGTGGAGCGCGCCCCCGGTTGGCCCTGCCGGCCGGCCTGCAGCCTGTGAGTTGTATTTGGCCGGTAAGCCCTGACTTATTAGTCAACGAATAGTATTTTTCTCTCATACTAAACCAGTTAACGGTACATTTAGTCATGACTTATAAGTTAAACAAGCTTAAACGAACGGGGCGCAGAGGATGCTTGCTGGCGCAAGTGCGCTTTGGCATTGTGTGTGTGCGGACAGGAGAGTGTGGGGGTGAGCACGTCCATGCTTGCCGTGCCGCCTGCGCCGCGCCTTGTGCGGCGTCCGTCCGTCCCACTCGCGCGCGCCGCGCGGGCGAAGTGGCTGGAAAATGCGCCCGCGCCCACCAGGGCGGCCACCACCCACCACCGTACCCTGCCCCCGCGCGTGACGCTGCCATAGGCAAACGCCGCCACCCACCCACCACTGGCCACCCGCCCCCCGCGTCGCACGCACACGCACGCCGAGGACTTTCTGCCGCCGCGTGATGTCACTCGCTTCCTGCCCCCCATCCGTCGCTACGGAGTACGGACACCGGTTCGGCCTCGCGCCCGGCCGTCCGTGACGCGATCGGACGGCTGTGTCTTCCTTGCCAGTCGTCGCTACGGTCTGCGGCCGGCCGGCACCAAATTACCGTGGGACTCACCAGGCAGGCCCCTCCGATGGGCCATGGCAGGTAGTAGATACTACTCGTAGATGTAGATCAACTGGCCGAAGAAGATTTGGATGTGGATTGGATCGAATCGCTGGCGAGTCATGGTTCCGGGGGATATTTGGGGAGTTCCTTACTAGTTTTCCACGACGAAAGCAACGGGGAGGGCCACACCACCGTACTTGCTCGGTTCCTTTCCGCGAAACGTTCGGCGTACGAGCTTCCTTCTCTACTGAATTTTGCCAAACAATGGCCGGGAACCGGGCCCCTCGACGCGTCCATCCTCCTGCCAATCAATGGCTTTCAAAGCTCCTCATTTTATTTGAGAAAAGGGCCTTTCAATTCTTCGCTGCTTCCTGGTGGAGTGGTGGTGGTGACCGGTGTCACGAGGGTGTACGTACGGTTCATGCTCACCCAGCACACGCTTTCGAGGCGAGAGGAATCGATCGGCGAGTGGGCGGCTTCATGCCCACCACCACTGCTTCCTATCCTCCTCCAATTCACCGTGATAGTGGAGCTGCCTAGTGGTATGGTGACAGACAGTCAGTACTACTGCCCCCACTCCGCCGCCTCGTGCGAGCACCCGCTTTTGATCCGATAAGTTTGTAGCAGCAACAACAGCAACATGAGGAAAGAGAGGATCATCCGATACAACAAAATTTTGCTAAAAGAGAAAGCGATATAAAACAGAAGACAACGCTGTGCCTCAGTGTGTGTGGGGAGAGATTCTTCTGAGCAATCCCCGCACCGCAACGACGAGTGAGGCCTATCATGAAGAAAAGGGCGTGTATAATGCACAACGACACGAATCCAGTGCCCTTTCGAGCGGATCAGATGGAACCCTAACGAAACTCCTATCAAACCACTTTTATTTTTGCGGGGTCAATTAGCCTATTCGTTTGGGCGTGAGCATTGTCGTAAACGATCGTAAATTTCTAACCTAAGAAAGATTTTTTCTCACACAAACCAACCAAAGAAAGCGATCTTCTTCAAGAAAAACAACCACGAAACGAACCGGCCAACCAAACAGGCTGAATATCGCCGCTTTTCCTCGTGTTTATGGCACATCACCGAGATCGCTTTCGTCCCAGCAGGCCAGCACAGTTCACATCACATGGCACAGGTCGGTTTTTTCTGCCCCCGCTTCGGCCTGAAATTTATAACGAGGAAAATTCTGAAAGGCTGAGCGCGTGTTCAGTTCTCATCCAAATTCCCAAAAAATGCTACAGTACTTATCACATCAAATCTTACGATACGTATATGAAGCATTAAACGTAGACGAAAAAAAAAACTAATTGCACAGTTTGGTTGAAAATTACGAGACGAACATTTTAAGCCTAATTAGTCCATAATTAAACACTAATTGCTAAATAAAAACGAAAGTGCTACGGTAGCCCAAAATCCACGCAACTAAACACGCGCTGAGCGACTTTGTTGAGGACAACAAGTGGTGTCAGATTTTTCTTCGTCCAGTCATTCAGTGCGTGCGCGTCTCGTTCAAAAGGAGACGTTGAAAGCGGGTCCCAGGAATCAGGCCCTGCTGCCAGGAAGCTCATTGCTTAAGAAAGCAGCAAAGGTTGAATGATTTCTGGGTCCTACGAAATTAGGCCTGAATCAAATGGCAATCATCATAATCTCTAGTACTCTCTTTCATATGTTATTGGTTTTTTTTAGAACACACAAAAAAAAGCTCAGCGAGCTTGGACAATTCTGGTTACATCATCAGTAACAGAGCGAGCTCACTAGCTCGTCAATGAAGAAGTTCACGTTTGCTTCCAGTTTCTGCATTTACCATGTTCCTACTTTTCTCTCAGCCGGCTTGTTCGGCTTCTTTTTTCAACCGGAACAGTGTTTCTCTCTCATAACAATTCAGCCAGTGTTTTTCAGCCAGTTTCAGCTAAAATTCAGCAAACCGAACAAGACCTTGAAGAAGGCGGTGGATCTTTGGCCTTTTCAAGCTCTGGGCCCAACTCACCATCAGGTTCCTTCATCCTACTAGAAGTAACCTGCCACATTGCACAAGACTCCAATTCTACGGTGGGTGTTTGGTTCCACTTTCTAAATTTTAGTCGCTGTCTTATCGGATGTTTGGACATATGTATGGAGTATTAAATATAGATTAATTACAAAACTAATTGCACAGTTTACGACTAATTTGCGAGATGAATCTTTTAAGCCTAATTAGTCCATGATTTGACAATATGGTGCTACAGTAAATATGTACTAACGACGGATTAATTAGGCTTAAAAAATTCGTCTCGTAGAGTACTAACGGATTATGTAATTTTTTTATTAGTATCTGAATACCCCATATGATACACTGACACCTTCTAAATTTTAGTCATAAGATCCAAATAATATTAGAAAGCACTAGTACATATTAGCACTAGTATGTGGAAACAAATGTATACATAAGAACTAACTGACATAAATAGGGCCAGCGTGGTAGAGAAGAGCGCAGATGCTGCTAGCCTGCTAGGGCTAGCCTAGCTGCTACAGTGCACAAAATGGCGCTTGTCTTTTTCAGAGATGCTGCATTGTTCAAGAGAATCTAACCTTTGTAGGACCAGAATTTACTAGTACAAGGGACCAGTTCTGGCGCACCTCATTATCTTTGTTCATATATCAGTAAATGCACCTGTCCGAGAAAGAATCACCCATCTCTGATCTCTCTGAGGCCATGTATAGATTGTAAAAAATTTCAACCCGATAAATAGTAACACTTTCATCTTATTTGATAAATATTGTCCAATCGTGGACCAACTAAGTTCAAAAGATTCATCTCATGATTTCCAACTAAACTGTGTAATTAGTTATTTTTTTTACCTACATTTAATGTTCCATGCAAACAGCTAAAAATTAATGTGGTGGAGAGAGAGTGAAAAAACTTGAAATTTTGAGGGTATCTAAACAAGGCCTAAGCCTCAAATAGTAGAGCCCGTGAATAGATTGAGCAACGTGACAAGATCCAACAAATACGGAGGACTAGGCTTGGAATGTCCAGCTCCCAGTTCTGCCTCCCGAAGAACTTGGCGGAACCCTCAAGGTGTATACCAACTCATGACTTCAGCTGACCTGCTGCTGCCCATAGCTTAAGCTTAGGGCCTGCATTGTAATCTGTTTGGTAGAAAGGAGTGAAGAAGATGACTAGGAAAAATCAGACTGCCTTTCAAAAAAAAAAAAAACAGACTCCAATTCAACGTTTTTGAATGTGTTGTTGGGCATCATCTCTACACCAAAGCCTGTTATTTTTAGCTGGCAGAACAAAGAAACAGGGCTGATAAAAAGCAGATCGAATTCTAGATCGCACCTGAATGCCACTTGCGAATTTTAGGTACTGAATGATGAAAGCGCAGTGGCGTTTTTTTTTCCAGATGAAATGTGCAGTGTTGGGCGTCCACAGACAATGAACGCCATCTATTCTCAGCCCCGCTCACATTATCCAGCGAGCGGCACCCACACATTATTCCGAAACGAAATCCAAGCCGGCCCAAAAATGTCACGGTCAGGTCAGGGGCAGAAGCGTCCTCAGCCAGTCCAACGGCCTCCCGAGGCCCAGGCGCCCAGCCGGCCAGCCCCACAAACTCTTCCCACTTCCCAGCCCGAACAACAAGCGCCGCACGCTCCGCTTCGCTATGGCGCTCTCGCTCGCGAGCAGCCCCAGCCCCGGCGCGGCGCTCCCCGCGCCGCGGGTTGCCCACTTTGCCCTTCCTCTCCTTCCGCTCCGCTCCCCTCGCCGCCTGCACCAGGCGCGGCTCCGCCTCCGCCTCCGCGTCGCGGCGTCCTCGCCCCCAGAGGCGCAGGTCGCCGCCCCCGTGGCGGAGGAGGGGGAGGAGCAGGGGGAGAAGCGGCGGAAGCTGTACGTGGCCAACCTGCCCTGGTCCTTCCCGGCGCCGGAGATCGAGAAGCTCTTCGCGCAGCACGGCACCGTCAAGGACGTCGAGGTGGGGGTGGGAGGCGCGATCGATTTCCGTGAACGCAATGCCGCGTGCCCTGGAGAGCCGTTGAGGCCCGCGTGCGTTTAGGGTGTCCGAGTTTGAATTTCCAGTTGCGATATTCAGCTTTTGTTGCGTTTGTTTGGCAGGTCATCAAGGGGAAGGATGGCAGAAACAGGGGGTTCGCGTTCGTCACGATGTCGACGGCGGAGGAGGCAGCCACCGTCGCTGAGAAGCTTAACTCCCATGTGAGCGCGGCCTTGATGTCTTTGGTTTGCACCATGCTGTAGTTTCACGATTGAGCATCAGATAGACAGAGTAGATGTGAAGTAGAAGATGATATATAAATTGCGTCTTAGGGAATCCAATCCATTGACCTCACTTGCATTCTCCTCCACTGAGGCTTTCAGCAACTTAGTGGATATTAACGGCTCGCACTTTACGTGGACATGGATTTACTTGTAATAATATCACTTCATGATTGAGTTTTCTATAACATGGGCCGAGTTTATCAGTCATGTATCATCATCATTGAGCTAATCATTAAAATGTTGACACCTAAAGATTTCTCCAAAATAAGATACTAACATTGAGAATAATATTTTCTAGGATGTAATGGGGCGGGCAATCAAGGTGGAGTTTTCAAAGAGCTTCAGAAAACCAGCTCCGCTTCCTCCTCCTGGCACCATTATAGAGAGGCACAAGCTTTATGTGTCCAATCTTCCATGGAAAGCAAGGGCTCCCAATGTTAAAGAATTCTTTGCAAAATTTAACCCGCTTTCTGCTAACGTTATATTCGATAATGGAAAAGCAGCTGGGTATGGTTTTGTTTCCTTTGGGACAAAAGAAGAAGCAGAGGCTGCTCTCACTGAGCTTGATGGAAAGGTGTTACATACAAACTTCTACCTTACGTTTTTGTTTGTGAAGATATATAGCATACCTCCGTCACATGCCTCCACTAGATAAAAATAAAAATGCCTTATCAATTATCAACTGTATTCTCTCTCCATCTGTTTTTGATAATAATTTTGAGGACCCTTGCCATTGACTTGCAACAACAGACCTGCTATAGTGTTATCATACAGTTAGATGAATTGTCTGTCTCTGTCCCATTTTGCCATTCCATATTTTTATAAAATCGAATGTAAGATGTATTAAACTACAAGCACATTAAGGCACTAAGGTATCAGATTTATATTTTGTCCTTTATTTAGGAACTTATGGGAAGACCTGTACGCTTGAATTGGCGGGAAAGTGGTGATGATAAGGTTGAAGTTGCAAAGGTCGACAGTGAAGTTGAAGTTGTAAATATTGAAGGAGCAAGCGTTGATGATGCCAGCACGGATGGAGGTGAAGATAAACAGGAATAGTCAAACATACTATACTGGCCTACGGGAAGAAAGTTCCATCCACCTTATTGATATAAACACAGATGTGGAACCTTGTTGTACAGTTACAAGTTTTTTCCTACACTACCTGGTGCGTAAGTGCATGATCATTGTGCCTATAATTGCACTTACTACTCATGGTTGGTACTTGAACTAATTTGTTTCTATGAAAATTTAATTCCATGACATCATCGGAATACTTCTGATTGATCATACACATTTGAGGAATCTTTGATGTGCTGTAGTTTGCTTCACTACTTGTGAATACTGCTTTCTGAAATTTTATGTATTTTATCATTTACCTTGCAATCATGAGTAGTTTCATGCAGCATGAACAGCTAGTAATCAGCTTGAGGTTCAATTTCATTTCATAATGACGAGGGAAGCAAAACCATAATGCTCAGTTCACTTTGTATTAAAATTTGAAGCTTGAGAGAAATTTGCCATGGGTCATACGCTATCATACCAGGAGCATCCAGAAAAAAAAAACTCTCTTCCTGCAGTATATTTTAATTGGCAAGTTATTAATATGTTATTTCTTGGGAACTCAGATCTAGTGCTTGCCTTTTTTATATATGGATGCGGAATAAGAGGTGGCAATCATAATCAACACTCAATTATCATTGTCTGCCTTGGTCCTGCTAAGGTAAAGGCCAACAAAAGGCATTAGCTCTAACTTCAGGTGAAGTAATGTCCTTGTAGCTTGCAATTGTATTCAATTCCAGTTATGTTATTGTGACAATATTGTACTTATTTATATTACATAATCGATCAAGTTTCTCCTGCTGACACACTTGCGATCTCCTAATTTTGGATGAATTCTCATTAGCTTAGCTTCCCAGTCAGATTTCTTTATGTACAACTCTTTCTCTCAGGGAACCTTGGCTGGCATGTGTCCTTACTTAAGTATGTAACTACGGTTGTTTCTTGTCATATCTGATTTTTATTTCAACCTTGAAAAGCTTCAGTTTCTTTCAACCCTCGAATCCAAAAAGGGTGTACTTATTTTGTTCAGTATTTACTGTAGATGACCATATCTTATCTAATTGCAACTCCATGCTTTAGCGATGAAAGTTGTATCTCCTTATTCGTTTGCCAAAATGTTGAAGTTCTTACACTCTTCTCTCTCAGGTTATATAGTTAGATTGAAATGTGTTTTTTTTCTTTTTATAAACCTAATAACTCATTATACACTCTTCGAGGTCGATGTAGTATCGATTTTAAGGTTACTGAATCATAGGTTTCTCTGTCGCCCTGAATAACAATAGTAATAATCTTCAACTCTTACTAGTGCAGTCAAAGTGATCATTCAACAAACACTAATCAGTGACCTAGATAAATGCTAAAGACACTTAAAACAGAATATCCTCAGCTTCACCAGTGTTCGGCTTGTCTCAGTAGCTGAAGGGTTGCCTTTCCTCTCTCTCTCTTTTGTCCCCAATGTATTCATGCTTATGTTATTATACTCAGCCATAAGTCAGTTATATCAACTACTGAAGAGAATTAGGGTGCGTCCATAGCACCTAGTGCATGCTTAATGCTCATATTTTCCATTTCCTAATGATGCTGCTGGCTCTGAAGTTCAATTCTCCATGGAATCATTGGTACAACAAAGGTTGGCAGTTGCAAGCTAAAACTAAGAAAAAACCCAGCAGAATTGGTTTTGGGGGCCTTCGACCTTCCTCAGTTCCTCTATCCAGCCCTATGGATTGTTAATCTGTTTTGGATATTTCAGTACTTACATCTCACTGTAATCACTTCATATAAACTTTCGTAGACTTCCTTTTTTCCCCGGCAATGCTCCTGTAATGCTCTCCAATAGATAAACTCATCATTGGTAGCTGTACGCCACCATGCATCCTTGGTGTGCTATTACAGTTTACAACTGGTTGGGTCTTAATCATTTCTAAATTGTTTTTTTTTAAAGAACTAAGCAGGTGAGCTGCCGATTATATTGATAAAGAAGAGGGCTAGAACTGAGCAATTCTAAATTGATTTATTTGGATAAAGGTTTTGGTTTCTCCTAGTTATTTTTAAGTTTATTTAAAGGCAAGATTTCCCACTTCACCAAAGCCTAGGAAAGCTTGAATTTGGTGTTCCAAACAAAGCAGTGATTTATCATTCCATATTACAACAAGTATTATATGCCATCCATTCTCTTGGTAGGGCAACACTGTTTGTTTAATGATCACTTGTGTAGTGACATTATGCCCAAATGCTTGTCTGTTGAAAAAAGTGTCTTTCCTAATAAGAACTAAATATATAGTTGTTTAATGCACTTTTTTATTCCTATTTAAATTTAAACTGCAAAGTTTTTTGAGGAATTGATTTCTCTCCAAGCACTCCAGCAGCTTTCATGTACTAAATAAGCATGTAGTCACTGGTTGCATGCCTCTGCTCTTGATATGTTGAGGGCTATTGTACTAAGGTATAATCACTGGATAGAATGTGCATATCTAGGTTGTAATGTATTATTTAAGCACCCCATTTCCATAGGCACCTGTTAAAAATCACCTCAACAAATCCTCGCTGGATAGAATGTTCACAGATATGTTGGAGTGTAGCATTCAAGTACCCCATTTCCATGGGCACCTTTTGAAGTAAAAGGGTAGGAGCTCTTCCTTTCAATTAAGACAGGAAAGAGAGTTTTAAGACAGAACACAAGTAACAGCCCTGGCCACAGCAGCACAGTAGACCGGGCGAAGAACATGTAAGGCCCAGCTACACCATAGGCTTAAACACAACCAAAACAAGGAACTAGAGAGAGACGCCTGTTGAAAATCATTACACTAAATCCGTCTGAGTCTTTTAAAAAAGATTGATAACTTTTGAACTCAAACTTTTTCTAAGGGATGTATGTTAAAAATTGTTTCAATACCTCATTAAAACAGACAATAAGTGTAAGCTGTTGCTGTGAGACTGTTTAGAACAGTAGTTAAAAAGCTAGAATTGAGTTCAGTGTGGCCCTCTTGATAAGTTGTAAGATAGTGATGATGAAGGGTACAACTATGATTTGCACACACTACCTTTTCCTGGTGTCTGTTCAAGGGGAAGCAAAGTGGCAAAAGAGGAGCATATTTAACTCCACATAATTTAAAGCAGCTGTTCCCACAAATTTAAAGGGACTAAAGTGGACCAGATCAATGCAAATTGAAATTCTTTCTTTTTTTGGGTGAAAGCAAACTCAGGTGGTTTATTTTATCTTTTTTCTTTCTTTCTAACCTCAAAGGGGTCAAAGTCTTAAAGCTACCCCTATTGGTGGGACTAGTTCTTAAGGGGGAAAAGGGATGACCCTGTTCCTCTTTGGTCCACCACTTCATCTGTCTTCTCCTCCAAACCTTCTATTAATCCATTTCCACTGACAAACAGGGAAAAGAGGAATTTGAAAATATAGCATTCTTTTGTGGAGTGAACGTCCTTCGTGATGGAAATCAGAATCAGCTTACTTGGTTATCCTGTTTTAACCTTTTGGAGTCCTGAACGATTAATCTACTAACTACTATCCAGTTGGTTTCTTGGTAAAATTAATTTGAAGCTCAATCCTGTCATAAGGTCATGCATCTTGATTCATTTTCAGCACTAGAAGTAATATCCAGAATTTTTATAGTAATATATAGAAGCAACTGGATGACTAGAGAAATATAGTGTAATATATTATGCACAAAGTAGTCCTATTTGAGCAGCATAACATCGATGTCTCCAGTAATTTATTGGTATCTGTATCACAGAATAAGTTCACTGTTTATATTAAAGAAAGGCTTATACGTTATGCCCATTTTGCATTTCAGTTTCAGTTCCTTTCAGAAGCAGGATGGACATCAATGATTTCCTCGAATGCTCTTGTTTATGTCAGACCATATTCTTCATAACTACATCATTCATCCTCCTGTATAAAATATTCTGCCTCACCTCATGTTGTGTTTTATTTACTTTATGGCTAGACGTGCAAACCATTTGGTCTGTTCTGTTCAAACTATTCTTGTGTAACTTCTGCACATTGGTTACTAACATCTTAATTTGTTATATAGATGCATAACTATTCAATTGCCTTCCAAATGAGAACAACATTACATGTTAGCCTCTTCAAATTCCTTGAACCATTAATCTAAAAGAGAAAGTATCACAATTGAATTTATATTCCTCCAAGGCTTTTCCTTAATTAAGGGAAAGAGTGAAATTGGCTGTTCTTTTGTAAGTTAGCCAGGAATATGGTAGCACTTAGCTTGCACTGAATGGAACCATACAGGTCCCTATGTCTACATGTGTCCCAAAATTTGTCACTTCTCTATGTTTCTGTCATGCATTGGATGACTGCACTCCTAATCTGCTATCCCTGTTATGTGGCAGTCATTTGCTCTTTTTTTTAACGAACGTGACAGTTATTTGCTTATCACAAAAGGAGGAAAATTCTTCTGATTTTTCAAAATAAAAAATAAATCTTCTGATATTTCAAACTATTTCTGTCAATTTTCTCTGTCCAACTTAGATTTGATAAAATGTTACCTGTTCTGCCTTTCTTATCTGTAAGATGATCATCACCATGTGGTTTGTGCCTTCATTAGATTGATTTGCATATGTCATAATGTTACATTGTTTTGTATGCATGTATGCTGATCGTTTAATCCAAATTTCCATAAAACATAGTTTTAAAAGTAATTTCATATAACTGCGGTTTTGGGAAAAAAAATATAACTGCGGTTTGAACTGTCCTTGCACATAAAATGTAAGGGCTGGTCCCTTTCATACCAGTAAGCTATTAAGGCTATGTTGACACTATAACAAGATTAGTGTCATAAAGAGAGAAGTAAATTCAAAGAAAGCTGTTGAAATAGTGCAAGTAATCATTATCTTTAGTTACTTGACTTGAAGAGAGAAAACCTGATTTCTGAAAGAGATTTCAAGGTTTATGGTACAGGACAGTCCTTTTCTTTGGAGGGGAAACAATAGCACTACCAACATTGTCATTTGCAGGGCTACAAGATAATGGATATTTACCAGATCACAAAAAAATTAGGAAATTTTAGCAACTTATTGTTTTATGGAATATGGAATTTGTTTCTTTGTCTGCGAGGCTTTCAAATATTCATTTTCTGTATTTGTTTAAGTTAATTTGACTGATCAAAGCCTACAACATCTCTAACTGAAACCAAAAGAACCTTGCAATGAGTGCAAACATTGGGTTTCACTCAACAAAATCCTTGAGATTTAAGACGTTTTGGCGTTAAGAGAGTAAGAAGTTTTATTTCCTTCCTCTTTCAGCTGAAGCTTCCACTGGTAGGCTTCATCGATGCTACTGCTCTGTTTCTTCATCTTGTTGTGCCAGGACCCAGACGTGTACTATTCTGTTTTTATCTTTCCTGTTACTGTTCATTCCTTATTATCATATCAGACGGCCATCTTGTCTTCCTCATCTGATCTGTGTGTGTCAGTGTGTCAAAGAGGGCATCGAATCGAAGTTAAAAGAGAAAGCAACAGCAGCAGGGGCAAAGGAAAAGAAAAAGGAAAGAAGAGCTGCAGCACCAAAAACAAAAGCAAATAAGATCAGGTCCCAACCACCACCATCTCCACGTCTCCTTCCATCCCTCCCAAATACTTTCCCTTGTAAACAAGCTTCACTGCCTCTCAAAGTCTCAAAGCCAGCAGCGTCATCTGATCTCCCCATATCCTCTCACAATTCCCAACACCGAGAAAGGAGCATGGATCCAAGGCGCCTAGTATGTCCTCTCTCTTCTCATCACAATGATTTATCCCAGAAGCTCACAGATAGCACCTGGAGACTCAGTCTCAGAGACTGAGTGAAGTAGCTACCATCTCGCCTCGTTTCTCCCAGTCTGCCGTTGCTGCTACTGCTGCCAGAGCCCAGAGCTCGTGGTGGGAGGCAATGGCCTCGTCACCGCTTGCAATCTCGGGGGGACAGCCTACCTGGGTCCCCTATGAGCCAACCAAAGATTGCTCCCAGGGCCTGTGCAGCATGTACTGCCCGCAGTGGTGCTACTTCATCTTCCGCCGCCTCCGCCGTTCGACTTCGGCGGCCCCAGCCCCGACGACTCCTCCGGCCCTGTCTTCTCCCCGCTTGTCATCGCTATCATCGGCGTGCTGGCGATCGCCTTCCTCCTCGTCAGTTACTACACCTTCATTTCCAGGTACTGTGGCACCTTGGGTTCCTTCCGGGGCAGAGTCTTCAGTTCCCACTTAGGTGCTGGTGCCCGCGGCCGTGGCAACGGCGGCGGCCGCAGTGGAGGCCAAGGACAATCCAGGAGCCAGGAATCGTGGAACATCTCGCCGTCGACCGGGCTGGATGAGACCTTGATCAGCAAGATCACCTTGTGCAAGTACAAGCGTGGTGATGCCTCGGTCCACACCACGGACTGCTCGGTCTGCCTCGGCGAGTTCAGGGACGGGGAGAGCCTGCGGCTGCTGCCCAAGTGCAGCCACGCCTTCCACCAGCAATGCATTGACAAGTGGCTCAAGTCGCACTCCAATTGCCCTCTGTGCCGCTCCAACATCACCTTCATCACCGTGGGCATGGGGATGGCGACGCAGGAGGCCGAGAGCCGTGGTCCAGGCGAGAGTGTTGGGAGAGACGCTGCCCATGATGTGGTTGTGGTGATGGATGACATGGAAATCATGTGCGACGAGCAGCAGAGCATGGCGGGCAGCACAGATGGTGATGGTGATGACCAGGAGGCAAATGGTGGTAGTCCGGAGGGAATGGACGAGGCCGACGGCAAGGCTGAGATCAGAGAAGAATGCCCGCCGCCGCTGAAGTTCAAGTCGGGGCCTTCGTCGTCTGACCCGGACCATGATATCCGCATGTCCATCGCCGACGTTCTGCAGGCCAGCATGGAAGACGAGCTCATGGCAGCCAGGGAGAGCGGCGTCCTTGCAGGTGGCGCCGGCGCATCAAGACGGTGTCACGGCGAGAACAGCAAGGGCGGACGCAGCAGCCGGCGTGCACTGCAGGACGCCATGGACACGAAGCGGTTGCCGCCTGCTGGCCGGTCGTGCTTCAGCAGCAAGAGTGGGAGGGGAAGGGATTCAGATCTTCCGATGTGAGCTCAGAGTTGTTTCAGATTTTTACCTAGGATGCTTACTGGGCAGGCTTTTCTTGTTTGCCTGCAAGATGGAATGTCGAATGGAAAAAGCAGGGACCGACATCATAGTCTGTGTGTCGTCTCGTGGCAATGTTCATCCCTACATGTGATGCCAGGGTCCAATAGTTCGTCTGCATTGCTCGGTGAGGCCTCTTCTGCTTCTAGTTGGTAGGCCTTGGATCAGTTCTGTGTTTGCTCTTCCATCCTAGAAGACCCACATTCCATTATTTCAGTGAACATGTTCTTACTGTGAATTCAGTACAAGACTAGTCCAACAGTTTTCTGGTGCCTTCTGGTATTGCCCTGCCATATTTTTTGGGTCTTTTTTTTTTTTGCTCCTTTCGTTTTTTTTATGGACGTGTCAATGTTTGAGCCTTCGCTTTTACTAAATGCTGAGCACATAGTATGAAAACTGACTCTGCAATGGGCTAGAGGGACCCTTTCTTTGCACTAACACAAATGCAGGAATCCCGTTTGCGTTTGGAATTTCCCATCATCATAGCACATAGCAGTGGTGGACCTATTGCATAACCAGATAAGCATGTGTGCTATAGCTTGCTCCCAACAAGCAACAAAGCTGCAAACCGACGCTGCTTTACCTCCCGGTCCCGGGGTTAGAATGACTTGTTTAATTTTGTTATTACTCTTATTATAATCACGCAGTGTTACTGCATGATCCGTACTCAGATCTTAGCCTGTGACGGGCGATCAGAATCTGATCCCCCTCCACTTTGCAGAAAACAAACCGGTTCCTTTTATCGGCCACGCACCACTGTCCACTGGCCATAGCCTCTCTTTTCTTTAGTTTGTTCCTTGACGCATATAGATGCTGAAGTCTCTGTGACAGGAACGATGCTGGAATCTTAGATATTAGGTGATGCCCTGGCTGGACAACATGTGGTTTGATATTCCAAATCCATGGCTGGGGTTAGGTTACGTCTGGTGGTACTCTGGTCGATTCAACACGAGCCATCTTTGGTCGTTTCAGCTATAACTTTATTTATCATTATCCTTTTTTTTTCAAAAAAAGAAAGAAAGAACAAGCTATGAGAACTTTGTGCTGGAGCCACGAGCCCAATACGATGTTTTCCGGTGTTTGTTTAGTAGTTCGGGGTTGCCATGAAACACGGCTCTACTGATATGTCACACTGAAGTGTGGGCATACATACTATACACTACTGTAATTATAAGTCGCTTTGACTTTTCTGGTACATTCATTTTGTTATGTATCCGGATATAATAATATATCTAGATATATAGTAAAAATAGATGAATCCAAAAGTTAAAATGACTTATAATTGGAACAGATATGCTAAATTCTAGACTGAGTAGTCTCCCTCTCGGTGATCGGTATCCGTCGCGATCGCACTTGCGGGTGATTTGGATCGTTGCGACCGGCTCGCTCGGCAACGCGACGTGGATTGCTGCACTATTACGCTGACTCCTCTCGGTTCTCCGGCCCGACTTCCACTCGGAAATTCGGATGCTTCCAATTCGCTTGATGCGGCCTCGACCAACACTTGCCAGAAAAGAATCAAAGAGCGATAGGTTCTACACGATGGCTGCACTTCGTCTGGTCTAGTGTCGTAGCTAGGCTTTCGCATTGGCTTGCTCGCTATCGCTAGCTAGGTAATAGGTTGCTGCAGCAGCTAGCGCAGCCGATCAGGCCCACAGTACATTACAATATGCAACGACGCCGTTGGTGGAGGGCAGGCGCGCCGCAGCGCCGGCGAGGGCGGCCATGGCCGTCGGCCCGTCCCTCCTTTTTTTCCCACCCGCTTTCCGCCTGAGCCTGTTCGGTTGAAATTTAAAACGATCGTATATGACGTGGATTATTACTTACTTAATTTGGTTTGGTGTAAGAAAAAATCGTTATACGCGAAAATTTACAATCGTTACTTACCCAAAGAAACAGTCCTGGACTCGCCGAGAGCTGAGCTGACTCTCTTTTTGGTGTCCGCCGCACAAGAGCGAGGCTGATTTTGTTTTCGTTTCATTTTTCTGTGAGTGAGGATTTCGAGGCTAAACCAGACTTGGATAATTGTTCGAAATTACGCTCTTCGGTCAAGCCCAGTAGGGAGCGGGAGCTTGGTGATCCAGGATGGGCTAAGCTGTACGTTTTGGTCCTAGTTATGGTTCCAGCCCAATGATCTCACGGGCCCACCGGCGGGCTTGTATTAAGAACTTGAGCTCCCGACTGCCCATGGATGGCGGCGAGCAGGTCTGTCAATGGGTGAAATCTATCTTTTACCAATCCAACCCATAACAGATTGATTCTCTTCCTAACTTATGTTACTACATAACTTTATTGTTTAACTCTAACCCAATTAAATCCACTAATTAGTTGAACACACGTGGGTCTTCTATAAAAACATATAGATTTGCACAAGATATATACTCCATCAGATTCAAAATTATAAAGTCGCTTTTAACTTTTTTTAGTGTCTAGATACATAGCAAGGTGGATGAACTAAAAAAATCAAAGCAACTTATAATTTTGAATGGAGGGAGTATATAAGAGTATAAGTTTGCATGAGGACACGTCAAAAGCCCGACCCAAAATTAAAAGACCAGGTCTACACCCTAGAACTTTATCAAAAGACATTACAACCTATTGGAGACAACTCAAATGTAATAGGGAGCTACTTTGTGTCGATTAGAGTTGCCAAATCAGCATATGGGCCTCACATCAAGAGGCGGACCTTGTATTCATACTTCAAAATTGAGATTTGTTGGATTTTTTTTTCCAAGAAGAAGACTTGTTAGTATGATTCAGAGTGGCATGGAGATACTCTATGCCAACTAGTGCAGCAAGGTCATTATGCAGGCTCGAACAAAATTATAAAGACATATAATAAAATTTGTATTGATAACTAACATTCAATACTAATAAAAATGCACATCCCTGAAAGGCTTTGTTTGTATGGGTACAATTACCTCCTATACATGTGGATTAAAGATCAAAATAAAATAAATATTGTCAATCCCTGAAAGGCTTCTGTTCCATACTTCCATATATATGGTGTCATTGTAGCTTTGTCGGTCAAGTTTTTTTAATCTTTGGCTATTAGTATATAAAATTTGTAATGTTTAATATTGAAGAATTGTGTTTTCAGATTCACCATAAAATAATTATATAATATACAGTTCTCATGTTCTTTAAAAGTGCATGAATTTATAGGAATTGATGGTTAAAGACAGATTTTTTACTTAACACAAAATCTGGAACGACAACTAATTTAAAGCAAGGGTGTAACAATTTTACAATTACATAAATACTTTTGGGCCTGTTTGGTTCCCTATATTAGGTTGTATTCAGACTTGTGCAATATAGTTTACATGTGTTTAGTTGCTCTCAGAGGCTCTTATGCAGACTTGCATGTGCTCAAAGCAGGTTTAATGTAACATTAGATAGTATGCCAATTTTGATTGTATTATTTCAACAGACCGATGAGGCTCAAGAAAAGAAAATATTCTCACCTCTCCTATCTTCACTAGAATTATAAAACATTACGACCTGTATTAGAGTATGAAGGAGGCTACACGCAACACGATAAACAACGGAAAATATTTTACCAAACATGGCTTTGCATATGCACGACAACTGAACACTAGAACATTGCATACATTTACGTTGTTTTGGATTGTGCTGCATAAGATCCAATGCAGACTAAGATCAATTTAAGCAACTAATCACGACCTTAGCAAATTCCTTGGCATGCACACAAAGTGGGAAGGGACGCCACATTATTGTTTCATAATCCACGCCAAGCAAAGCCAGCCTAGTGGGACCCCTACTTTACTATTTGCTTTTTTGGATTGGATAGGCTCCGTTTGATGTTTGATTCCATCTGGCCTGCGCTTCCTATTCTTGCTAGTCGGCCGAATTCAGGGGAGACGCCGCCGCCCGATCGCAGTGAACGCGACAAGGGCACGCACAAGCATGCATGTCGTCGGCAATCACGAACGCGACCACAAGTCCAGAAACGAACCTGCGTGTTATTGCCTGCCGTTACATGCTCTATACCTACGCCACCAGGCTCTCCTGCTGGCCAGCCGCGCACGCACGACACTGCACTTTACAAGAAACGAAAGCAGGCACCCTGCAGTCCATGCCCCCGGCTCGCCTGCATTGCGTTGCGCCGGCAGACCTCGTCGGCGGGCGGTGGGTTTCTCATGCCCTAGCTAGCTAGGGCTGCCCTGCTGCTCTCGCCTCCGCGTCGATGATGCAGAGGACATGGTGCACCGCCGCGGCGATGTCCTCCGCCGTCGCCAGGCCGCACCCTTCCTCCACCTGCAGCGCCACATGCGAGAGAGGAGATGAGTACATGTTCGTGACACATGGAATCAATCGCCAAGTCAGGCAAAAAGTGCAAAGCAAAGCCTCCTCTGCCTACTGCGTTGGGGGGGTCCGGCTCCTGGGCACACAAACACATGATACTCGATCAGTCTTCTGCTGAAACACGCAGCACTAGAAAAAGGCGGCGGCAGCGGCACACAACACGATCTTTCTCCAGCTGCCTGCTCCGCTCACCAAGAGATTCTCCGTGATGGTTCTTTTCTCCTTTACGTACTAGCCTTTAGTAAAAAGAAACGGTGAAACACACGACCTTTCCTTTTCACTGTACCCTATCTGCTCGAATTTGAAGGTGTTTCAGACGATGGAGGAGTACAGGGACATCAAAAAGCCCAGTGCTACAGCTTGCCAAACGCAGCAAACAGCTTTCGCGCCCTGGCCGCATCTCTGGTCAAAACTCAAAAGCGAGCGCCCATGGCTTGTGCTGCAGTCGTGCTGGGCTCGCAGGGGAAGCCACTGTGGACTGTGTTCTACTGGTCTCTGTATTTGGAGACCAGGCCCAGCAGGCACAAGCCAGCGTGAAGAACAATGGTCTCTGCGTTTGCCTCTGCGCTGGTGCAGTGCGGTGTCATGCAAATGCGGAAATGCCTCTCCCGGAATTTCGGTGGACCTGATGCTACTATCTGACATCATTTTGATTGTTTTTCTAGTATATGATGAGGCAACAAGAGATGGGAGACGGCTCTGTTTTCCTTCCAAGACGAGTACGGGCCTAGTACGTGCAAATCAGTACATGCACAGATGCACTATTGCTGGATGCACAGACTACATGAACATGATCAATTTAGTCGTTACTAGTATCCAATACAGAAACTAATCTGGCAATCTTAACTGAAGTGCCGTATCAGAGAGCTTTGGTGTAAAAAAAATAAAGGGACAGAGAATTTGGTCATGTACTTGCATAGTAGCAGTGATGACCAAAGTGCATGTTAGCACGGCGATGCACCATTTCAGGCAGGGATAATGAGGCTTTCACGACGACGGTTGGTCCGTGAACAGAAGGAGCAAGAAACCGTTGCTACTCGTCACTGATCAGGAAAAGTGTCGCCGTCGTACCTTGAGGCTGAGCGTGTAGAGCGCCGTGGCGTCGGGCGCGGTGACCACGTTGAGGTGCAGCACGGCGAGGCCGAGCGCCTGCATCCCGGCCACCATCCGCAGCAGCTGCCCGGGCCGCCGCGGCGCCATCACGCGGAGGCTGGCGTGCGCGTCCACCACCACGCGCCCACCTCCACGTCCGCCACCGCGGACGCGCGGCTCGCTCCTCAGCGCCCGCGCCGACCACGACAGTAGCGTCCTCCCGCGTTGGCGTGGCGTGGCGCCACGCGTACTGCGGGTACCGGAAGAACCCGCGAACGGAGGCGCCTGCGGCCCGGCTCCAGCGCCGACCCCTCGCTGCGCGCCGCGGCATCGGGCCCGCGCCCGCGCTGGTTGCTGGCGGACGCGGGGTCATCACGGCCTGGTGCCGATTGCGCCGCGTCGCGCCGCCGCCGTGTCGCTGCGCTGCTGCTGCAGCTTCCTGGTTCAGCGCCAGCTTCTGCGCCTCCAGGGACCGCAGCTGCTGCTCGAGCTCCTTTCACGAAATCGATGGCGCCGCTAACGATGGACGCCTGATCGCTCTACACATCATCACAAATTTTATTTTTTATTAAAAAACATCTTAAAATTCAGGCTCCTCAGATATAAGAGAAGTGAAAAACATTTGAATAAATCAATCAAAGCAACAGCCGGGGTGGTAGTACTAGTACATGTAGGCGTGATTTGACAAGAAGAAAAAAGTCACGGGATGACCAAACGGTAACAGTGCCACTATCTTTTTTTGAAACAATAACAGTGCCACTATCTGAAT